TCACCTGGTAGGTAGTCACCACGCTACCGATTTCATGTTTTTTTTTTTGTTGGGTAAAATTAAACAATAGATACAATTAAAAATGTTTTGTGAACCAAAAATATCATACTATTTGTTGAAACAAAACGTACATTCCTGATAATAATTTGGTGAAAGTGTCTAGATGGTGTAAAAATTTGCCAAAAAAAAGAAGGTAATTTTTAAGAAAATGAGAAATGTGTTCCGATGAAACATGCAAAAAATGAATGGATAATCAAATATCACAGGGATTTGGAAATTCAATTCTCGTTAGAAAATCTAATTTAGAAATAAAATGAAAAAGGAAACTAGTTAGGTGCCTCCTAGGCCTCTCTATTTGGCTCGGACAAAAAGACAAAAATGTATATATTTTTTCTTCAGGTAAACAGCAAAAATCGTACATCCTCTATATTTCAGAATGATTGTTAATTTCATATTTCTATTTATTATTATACTACAAAATACACTAGAAATAAAAATTTAAACAGGAAAATAATACTATTTGATAGAGGAAGAGGGGAGAGAATATTAATAATAGTTATTATTTCTTTCTTACGATAAAAAGATAAAAAGATATTAGAGTAGGCGGGCTCTAAGTTCATGTTGGATGAGATATTGACATTACTTGGTAGTAAAACTATTGAATTCAGGCAGACATACGTCCAAATAATTAAATGCCTTTGGGCCTTCAAATCTTGCCTTGGATTTTGCTTTTGCATATAGTTTCTCTCTAGTCCTCCTTGCATGTAGCACAAATAGTTTACATATTCCCAAATAAATTGAAGATCCCAAAAAAATAAAAAAATAAAAAAGTTGCAATTGCATCCACGACTGTGAAAATGGTACACACGAACTAATTTAGGCTCTATTTGAAATGTCATTAAAGAAAATTGATTTTGAAAAAAAAATTTATTCTTTTCATCTCAAAAAAAATACTCCCTCCGTCGATCCGTCCTATAATTATTGTCCAGTTTGGGTTTTCATTTCTAGTTCAAATTAAACTAAAAATGAAATCTAAAATTTGACAATAATTTTAGAACAGAGGGAGTAATAAATTAAGGTCTAAACTCCGCGGAGGATCCAATTGAATTCACCTCTTCATGAAGATGTTTTTCTTCCAGCAAAAAATATGTTGCATCTTCCCCCACTGCCCTTAATGAAAAGAAGCAAGAAATAGAAAAGAAAACCTTTATTTTTCAACCTTTTTTTTTAATGTTAAAAAAACAAAGAAGCCAAAAAATGAAAATTACTGTAATACAGAAAGTTTTTTTTGTTGATTAGACAGTGTGGCAGTCCCCAGTGGAAGGGACAGAACTCCCACTGTGAAGAGTGAACCCTTTGATCAAAGATCCGACGGATGTCGATCAAATACATGAAAGAAGGGCTTCCCCACCGTCGGATATTAATCCCCAGCATTTACTACTGTTACTGCAGTTTGTTACTGCGGCTACAAAAGAAAAGGACTCACAGTTATCGTAACTTGAAGTAAGTAGTAACTCAGAGTGAAAACTGGTGAAGTAGTATTTTCATAGGCATAATCCTGAGTTTTATTAGGGTAACAGGCTTTTTTTTTCCTTTTTTTTTTCTTTTTTTTTGAAGTGACGGGCGTTTTTAATTTTATGGGTAATCGGTAATATGTTCACTGTCAACAAGCAAAAGATCCCATTCCTTTCTTTTTAAAAAGCTTTTTGCTTTTCTCTCTTTCAAAATTTTCTTCACAATTGTAAGTCAGTCAGTCAGTCAGAAACACACACAGTCACACAGTGGGAGAAGGCAGAAACAACAAGGGTATACTATCCTACTACTACTACTACTACTAGCTCTTCACTTCACCCCCTGGGTGCACTCCCCGATGACAAATAAAAACCTATAAAAACTTTCAGGTGACGCAATTATCACTTCTAGCTTCTTTCCCTATTTCGGCTGTCTTGTCCCACTGTTACATGCTATACACACTGTTCTGAAATTTTCCCCCTCCTATCCTCCCCTTCTCCATTCATTTATTTTTTTGAGAAATTTTCTCATATGGTAGTTAGTGATTCCTAACCCACATCATTCATTAATTCATTTATGTTTTAAGATTTTTTTTTTCTATTTGAAGTGAGCAAAAGTATATTAATAATATAAAAAATATATATTAAAATGAGACATTTATTGATAAATTATTCTGAAAAAAAATCATCAAAAATTGTTTCTATATGTAAAACATCACTACACATTCTTTGAAAAATTAGAACAAGCTCATCACCTGAAAGTACATGATAAAATGTGAAAAAATAATATAATAAAATAGAGTTTATCAATCTACATACCAATCGTTTTAAAAAAATTTAATATTGATTCATTACTTACTCCCGACCTGGCTCAAATGATGCAGTCTATCAATCTGTATACAAATCGTATTTTATTTTAAAGGGATCAATAATAATTATTCACTAATCTCCGCGTGTGACTCAAATTCGTAACCTATAGAAAAAGGAGAGGCGTAAATAAATCGTATCTCATTTCACTGTCTAGTATATCACTCGGTCTATCATTTTCCGTCATTTTAAATGACGTTGTCCCAGTTTTTGTCACATATTCATTTCCGAGTGGAAATATCCACTACAAGTTTTTTTTTTTTTTCTTTTGCCGGAACTTTTCCTTTTATTTAATTATTTATTTATTTTTTCTGGGTAAAAGAATAGGTAAACCTGGCTAAAATTGAAAACTAATCGATGAAAGAAAGATTTGTAAAATAAAGGAACAAAGCCTCTGATGACGCGCCATTAACCATAGTCCAGTGATGGAGTAATATGAAAGTAGGACGCAACACTGACTGACTGACATCTTTAAGTACTTCCATTTACTATTTACTAGCGTAAGTAAACTGTGTAAAAATCATTCAACTTTAATGTGTACTTTTCGTAGTTAAATCAAGTGATTAAGAAAGACCGTATCTTCTTTCCACCCCAGATTATTGTCTTCGGTCTTCTACCCTTTTTCTTCGTTTGCTTGCCTTTAATTCTACCAGCAAAAGGGTTGAAAGATAACGGGGAATAATTTATGGTGATGTGGTAAAAGTTCGCAACTTGCAACTTCTAAATAAAGCAAAACTAACAACACACGGGGTATATACCATTGCACCACCGTACGTGCATCCAGCTCGGGTATGATTCTTCTTCCCTCTTAGCTAATGTACTATGATTACCATCAATTTCATACTGTTGCCTTCTTTGGGTAGTTGGGTCAACAGTATCGCGTCTCGAATCCGATTTCCTAAAATCCAAGGGATTGTTTGGCCAACATTTTTTTTTAGTTTTTATTTGGGTTTGAGATGTGATTTAAAATATGGTTATGAGATAAAATTTAAAAAGTTATTTAGGTGATATTTTAAATAAACTAATAATATTTTTAGACCACCAACACCGCCGCCGTCGCCGGATCGCCGCTGGCCGGCGACCGGTCGACCGGATCCGGCCAATTCACCAGAATTTGGCCGGATCCAGTCGGCCGGCTGCGGCGGGCGGTCCGGTGGTGGAGATAGTTCGGTGGTGGTGGATGAAAATTGTGTAAAAATAATTTTTGAAATTTTTTTTAAAAGGTAAATTAAAATATTATTTAGATAATATTGGGATTTGTGTTTGAAAGGTGTTTTAAGAGGTAAAATGAGACAAAAACACAAAATAAGTGTTGAGCAAATAAACCCTATAAAATTACAAAACACGTCTTACGACTATACTGTATCGTTATTCAAAATCACTGTGATCGAATCTATTAACCATTAAAGTTAAAGATTTATTATAACTCATGGATGTTATATTATCTCCGAGATCTTTATGTCATAGTACTCATTGTTTATTTATTTATTTTGGAAAATAAATATTCAACATTAAATAAGCGTATTCAATGAAAGGTAAAAAAAAAAATAAAGTCGAAAAAAATTGTAAATTTTACTTTAAGAAGAAACGATTTTAAATATATCTTGTACTTTTCGTGTGTGGATTGTAGTATTTGGCAGTGCATCTATTTTTGCGCAAGCAAAGAGTGCACACTTTATCAAGGGGTATATAATAATAACGTCCTTTAATTTTGAAGGCAGTATATTAATGATGACATGAATATATACATTTATTTGTATTGAGGAAAAAGAAAAGAAAGGTTCCAGCTCCAGCGCGTGTTAATTCATCACTAAGTTAAAAACATTCCTGGTCAAACAAACCCTACATCATAACTCTTAAACCGTACGTACTACTATGCACATAAAAGTTAATAACAAAACCTTCATTTTTTTTCCTTGAGATTTTTTGTTAAGCTTTTGTGTTGCTTTATAATTAATTAATGGCCATGGTTACATACAAACCACTCGAGTGCCCAAAACAAAAAAAAAAAAGAGATAAAAAATACGCTTAGCATGCAGATCACGGAAGGGATTAAATTACTTGAGTGTCGTGTGACAAGTTCATGAATCGACCTCATATTATTATTTCGGGAAAAAGAGGATGCAACAGGACGGTGCTTTTGACTAATTTAGCCCATAAATTTTTACATTCTCTATCTCAAAATAATTATTCTGTTTAGATTTTTAATTTTAATACAATTTATATCACAAATGAACCATTCATTGTGTGAAAAATCGAATGTAATATTTGGTGGAAGGGCTCTCTAGGGAAAGACTCGGTTCTGATTCTTACCGGCGCATGAGAGAAGAAATTCCTGGTCGGTTAAGGAGAAAGAGATGGAGCATGTAACCTAAAAAAAATTCAAACTGTAAAATCATTTTAAAACGGAAAAAATAACTGAAAAAATAAAATGAGTTGATAAAATTTTATTGTATTGTAGTGTCAAATTCAATTCAATCCAAATAAAAAAATAAAAAAAAGTACGTGACAAGAGCAACAACTACAAGCAAACAAGAGTTTCCAATAATGGATAAAAAAAATTTTAACCCAAAATTCATATCATCTCATCTCATTTCATTTCATTTCATTCAAAGAGATTCAGTGAGGGTGACAAATATTCGCCGTCCAATCTAACGGTGAAACGACGTTAAAACAAACAAGAAACTCAAAACCAAAAAGGTCATGTTAAACGGCAACTAGTATTATTAACCTTTATCAATCATTGTCCTCTTTTCCTACATCTACTTCTATTACTTCTACTAACCTTGGACCATACAAAGCTGTATAGTACCACTTTTCCTACTTGCTGAGAAATTTTCTCCAGCTAGCTTCCTTCTCTAGATTCTCGCCTGAAAACCCATCGGAATCTCGCCGGATTTTTAGTCACTTTCATAGTTTCCCAAAAAGGGTTTTTATCTGAATTAATCAAGATCTCTTCTGAAGAGCTAGCTTCATATCTTTCTTCCATGGAGGTAATTAATGCCATTTATTTTTTTCTTTTTTAAGATGGGATTTAATCATTTGCTGTAAATCCAAATCCAAATTTTGTTTTCTTCGGGCATTTTTCTTTTCCGTTTGAATGAAACTTATTTTTAGCTTTGTTGAAGGACTAAAAAAAAGCAAAAATCAGGGACTGAACTTCTGAGTTTCAGATCCATTTCTGGGTTTTCATTATTTTCTCATTTTTATGAACTCTTTTCACGTTACAAACTTAAAATACTTTGAGTTTAGGGTTTTAGTATTACTTTGTTGATTATCTTAAGTTTGGTGGTATTTTCTTGGGTTTTCGTGAAGTGGGCAGAAAATTTTGGCTAAGATTTTCTTAACCAAGTGAAGAAGGCAAACAGTAACTTTACTGACTCAGTACTGTTTTTGCTTTGTTTATGGGGAAGCTTCGAAGTCTGTGAGGGAGAAAGCTTCAGTCTGAAAGAGAAGAGAAAAACAATATGTTGCTTGGCCCATAAGGCTATTAGGTCTTTCTTTCTTACACACGAAACATCAGAATACAAAAAGGGTTCCAGAATTAGCTAACCATTTGTTTTAATTTCCGGTGTCTCTTTGTGTGTTTTTTTCTCCTTTTAGCTTCAAAGGGTAATGGTTTCCTTTCTGGGTTTTCGTTGGTTAATTACTGGTGATTCTCCACTTTTTTTTTTTTTTGGATTCTGGCAAACTGAGATCAGTAAGATACAGTAGTAGTTTCAATTTTCAAGGAAAACAGGCACAATCAACCCACATGGAGACTTTAAAGTTTTCTTCCTTTCATTTATTGTCTTTTTCCTTGTCTCAAGTCCAAAAAACGTCACTTCCTTCTTGTTCCTTTGCAGTGGTTTTTGCAGTGTTTCAATATCTCATGAATGAAAAATATTGCTAACCAGCTTTTGGTTTCTTGTTCTTTGTATGTTATACTTTAGTGGGGGTCGCATGCATTTGTTTGATTTGGACCATATCTTTTTTTTTTTTTTTCCTTTTTTCTTTCTTACAACTTGAGTAATCTTGGCCTAATTCCATAATTTGTAGGCCATTTCTACTGTATAAAGGAAACCAAGATGAATGGAAGAGGTTGAAGGAGTTTGTTGATATATTTGGGGAGGATTAGAAGTTTTTTATGGAGACAAGCAACTTTAGGCCTCAACAACAACTGCATGTAGCCCAACAAAGCCGTAGAGAAAAATTAAGAGTGCAAAACCATGACCAATTTTCCGGGGATCATGAGGATATTGCTCAGCCTAGAAGTTTTCGGTATGGAAATAACTTATCATATGATGATCATCATCATCAACAAGTATTGTATCCTTCCTCTGAAATGATTAATAATTTCGATTCTGCTTCGAATTCATCACAACCATTATTGATGATGGCTGCTGCTCATACTAGTAGTAAAGATGTTGCGATGAGTGGTGACCCACATAATTGTAGCACTTGGAAAAGCATTGGTTCACAAGAGAGTACTTGTGATTGGAACACTGATAGTAGTAATCCCAACCCAATCTTTGTCGGATCACAAGGCTTGTCTGCTTCTTTCAAGTCAATTTATAACATGAGGCCTGGTTCTTCTTCGTATGGTTACCATCATCATCATGAAGTACAATCATCATATTTGACCAGTCAACCTCCTGGTGAGATGAACTACAATTCTTCTTCACTTTACCATGGTACTAATATTGTTCCTCAGGAGATGGGATTTGGTTCAATGCATGAACAGAACAATAGGGAAGCTTATGGAAACGAATTACATCTACTTCCAGCTTGGTCTAACAGGGACTTGATCTACACTGAAAATAAGAGTATGGATCATAGAGATGTTCCTAGTAGAATATCTGGAAATGATCATGGTTCTAGTAACTACACTCAGGCTTTGTCTCTATCGCTCTCGTCGATTCCCTTGTGTAAATCCCATGTTGGATGTGATAGAATGGTCCCAGAAGATTTGCATTCTGGCGGAGCTGCTGGTAATTGTTACAGCAATTTGAATCAAGATGTGAAGGCATTGAAGTCTGAGTACTTGGGTTTTGATGAGAAAGCATCTTATAATGGTAAAGGAATTGAAAATGTGGTGGGAAATAATCCTACTTTAGTAACTAATAGAAGTGGAGTAGGTCCACTTGGTCCATTTACTGGCTATGCAACTATACTGAAAAGTTCAAGGTTCTTAAAGCCAGCCCAACAGCTTTTGGAGGAATTTTGTAACATGGTTGGTCCGAAGTCCATGAAAAATTTGGAGTATCCTGAGAAATTATCAAATGAGGTTAGGGCTTCTTGTACTGATTTTGATGTTGCTGAGTCCATTGCTGGAGGAGCTCTTGCAAGGGATTCTGGTGGCTCGTCATCAACATATTATAGTTCTAACAATAATGAAAAGATCCAGGAAGTTGGAGGTTTAAGCAGCTCAAATGAATCCTATCGCCCGGAGTATCTACAAAAGAAGGCAAAGCTGTTGTACATGCTGGAAGAGGTTGGTCTCATTTTCCTTGCTGCTGTTGTCTGTATATATTGATGCAAAGCTCAAGACTCATATGGAATAGTATCATTGTACATTGTATGTTTATTGCTCTTGTACAATTTGTCAACAAACCACATTTTTCATTTTTTTATCCTTCACTTTTTCATATGTAGTCCACTTTCTTGTATGAGACAGCAGGCTACGGGTTTTTTTTTGGGGGATATGGGGGTGGGGGGGGGGGTTAAGAGTTGAGTACATTTTATTGCATGTGAATTCCAACCCTCATCATATGCATTGTACTATCATTTGAGTGTTATAAGTTGGTTGAAAAATCAGATTTCATTTTCCCCCCTTGTCCTTCTGGCTATGCTTACTTGAATACTATTTGAAACTCTATGGATACATGTAGCACTAAGATAGAATGAAATCAGCCGTCCCTTAATTGCTGTCACATCTACATTTGATTCCTCAATTTTTTATTGTTCATGTCTGAAAGTTCAGCTTGATGTAAATTCAGGCAAATAGACCTATGTGACTGGCGTATGGTATGCTACTGCTAGCGATTATTCTTCCCCCATCCAATGCCTTTGGTTGTGGTATGTATGCAGTGTATGATGGGGTGAATAGAGTCGTTTGATGTGTGCTAGTGATTATTCTTCCCCCATCCAATGCCCTTGATTGTAGCATGTAAGCAGTGTATGATGGGGTGAATAAGAGTCATTTGATTAGACCAAACGCGATTTAAATTATTGTAAACCAAATCACTGAATTAAAGACCAAATAACAAGGAAAATGAATAGAAATGTGACACCGATATGAAGTCGGTTTTTCTTCAATTGTCTTTCACCTTCAGAATCCTCTAGGGAGTGCAGGATCTAGTTGTTGAGTTTCTTCTGTAGCTACATTGATCCATGAAATCAAAGTGTCAAATTAAGCTGCAGGTTTTTTATTTCACTGACTGCATGTCATAATTGGACTGGTTACTGGTTATTATAGTAACTATATTTCTTCTAGGAAAGTCTATTCTGCTTGAAATTTCTTGTAAAACTATTTATGTATATATTTTTTGGGAAAAGGTATGCCGAAAGTATAAGCAATACAATCAACAAATGCAAATGGTGGTTTCTGCCTTTGAGTCAGTTGCGGGGCTCAGCGCAGCCACCCCTTATATTTCCCTGGCACTCAAGTCAATTTCCCGGCATTTCCGGTGTTTGAAGAGTGCAATTTCAGATCAGCTAAAAAATGTAAGGAAAGCTTTGGGAGAAGACTTCTCATCCCCCACAACTGGCACCACAAGCAGTAGTGATAAAGGCGATACGAGCATGACATCAAGGTTGAAATTGATGGACCGAACCATTCAAAAGCAGAAAGGTACCAGTTATTTTGAGTGTCAACAGCATGTGTGGAGACCTCAGAGAGGCCTGCCTGAGCGAGCTGTTGCCATTCTTAGAGCCTGGCTCTTTGATCACTTCCTCCATCCGTAAGTTATCCTCCCTAACTAATGCTCGTTTTATGAAGTTGAAACCAAATAGGGTGGGGAGGATACAATGGTAATATTGAGTAATTTTAATCAGCAGGTTTTTACTTTGTACCATTATGACTGATGCATCTGGGAAGTGTACATAAAAACATCACGTATTTCATTCATTTGCATTTTTCTGAAAAGTGAATTTTGTGTGTTAATGCAGGTATCCCACTGATGCAGACAAGCATATGTTAGCCTCTCAAACCGGTTTAAGTCGTAATCAGGTATTGTTATGATCTTTTCAAACTCGAGTTGAATGCCTAAGTTATTTAACATCAACTTCATACATTCATGTTCATAACAGTTCCCTGTCCATTAAGTGAAGTTTTCATCAGTTTTGTTTGAATTAGTTCAACCTTTGTACAGTCTTGTTCAACCTTTGTACAGCTTATCTGCAACAAACACTGTTTCCATCTATTTAATTTGAAATGGAGGGTTACTGTTTGATCTTTGGGATAGTGTGACACATCGATCAAGTTGGACGCCTAAGTTGTTTAACATCATCTTCACACTATAGTATTTATTGAAGTTCCTAGTCAATTTATTAAAGGTTTGGTTGGTTTTGTCTGAATTCTTGTTCAACCTTTGTCAGTCTGGTTCAACCTCTGTACATCATATCTGCTACAACTTTTGTTTTTGGCTTCACTCTCGTTTAATTTGAAATTGGAGGACTACTGTATTATCTTTGGGATATTGTGACATTTATAGTTTCATCATGAACTTGCATGTGCAATTTCCAGGTTTCAAATTGGTTTATCAACGCTCGAGTTCGTGTATGGAAGCCAATGGTTGAGGAAATACACATGCTGGAAACAAAAGGATCAGCAGAAACCAGCTCAGTTGCGGGAAAACCTGATGAGACAACAGGCGGAAGAAGTCTATCATCAAACGATACTCAACCATTAAACAGGCTAAACAGTGGTGGGTTTTCAGAAAAACCAGTGGAATCCATGGATATTGGCTCATCTGGATTCGTGACGAGCAGAATGAATGTCGAAGCGTGGAACCAGAAAAGGTCTCGAGTCGAATGTCACAATGTTTCAGGACAAATGGATGGATCAGTGGTTAGTTTTTCACCATACCAACAAAGTGGAATTGATATTGGAAGTCTTGGAGCGGTGTCGCTTACATTGGGTCTTAGGCGAAATGTTGATGGTTTGCAGCCGCAACAACAGCAGCACGATAACCATCACCTAAGACGGCATTTTGGGGATCAGATCATCTATGATTTTGTTGGTTAATTTTCTTTTTGAAGGGTAAGATAAAAAAAAATAATGGTAGCTGGTCAAAGGTAAAGGTTTTCTTTTGCTAGTTGTTCATTGATGCTGCACAAAACATTAGGCCGAATCAATGAGCTGATTATAATGTCAACTACAAAATGGCCATCTTTGTATATGCATAATGATAGATAGGATCATCTTCAGCCTTCAGGACTTTGTATTGTACCTTATATGCATCGCTAAATCCATGTTCCATGGGTGCAATGCTATGGAAATAAATCGTAAGCGGGAATTTAAGTGGGTTGGGTTATGATTATACGATATCTCGAATTTCTGAAGTCTGAACACTAACGACATATAACGAATAAATTTCTGTTGTTTAATAGTGGGTGTTTAATATCATTCACCAGTGAGATTGAGGTTGTGGATCGTAGAACAGTGTCTTGTGAGGATTTTAGTATAGTACTAGGTGATTTGTCTTGCTTTCAGATTACTACCACCATTGAGGTCATCAAATAGTTCTTCAGGGAGCTCAGTTTGACATTTTTGTTGGGCTCTCCAAGATCAAACACTTTTTTTGTGCTTTTAGCCCATTGAGCTCATGCGGGACGTTAGTTTTTCATTGGATCACAATACTTTGTTATTTTTCGGCCCTAGTAATTAACTTCCAAGTTCCAATGTATTAGGTGTCTCATTAACTAGATCTAAAAGTGTACGCTACCAGTCCATCAACTTCGAGATCATATTTCATTCCCATGTGCCAAGAAAATTCAAACAGATTAGAATGAAAAATATTTTATAATTATGGAAAAGGAACCAAAAAAAAAAAAATGATGATGAGTGGAGCAATGGATTCATCATCGTTCAAATGAAGACTGTATAAATGAGAACCAATTGAAGTAAAAATTGAAGTTGAGATAGATCTTTTTTTCTACAATTTCCCGATGATAATTTTTATTTTCACTGCTGCATGAAATTAACTAAAATGAAATAGTTTTATTTTATTTTATTTTTTTAGATATATGAGCAGATCTTTTATAGAACAAAAATAAGGCTTAGTATAGCCATTAGACTCTAAGTAGATCTTTTAGAGATTTAAAATCGAATCCTTTCTGATGATTTTTTTCCATGTATTTATAGAGATGTGAGATCTACAATGGTGGGGTTTTTTCCAGGAAAAAAAAAGTAGAGCAGAGATTAAAACGTTAAACATAAAATAAATCATAAATTATGTCTTTCAAGGACGTGGACCAACGACCACAACAATTAACGAACAAGCTCTCACTCTACCATACATTTATAAACAAACAATAGAGAGGATTAACAGTTGCATCACATAACTCTTATCATCATTATATAAATTCGAATTAATACATAAATACATCACATTTATATAAGTACACATGCATTCTTAATTGATATTACTAATTACTCTGTCCTAAAATAATACTACCTCCGTCCCACAAAAATAGTCTACATTGATTTTTTAAATTTGTACTAAAAACAGTAAAAAAACTCAAAAGTCAATGTGGACTATTTTTGTGGGACGGAGGGAGTATTCATTAATCAAACGAAATATGGCAATACATATGATTCTTATTTTGGGACCGACTTATGTAATGATTATTATCCATGCATAATGATCTCTTAAACCTTGCCACCATGATCAGTAGTGTCACCCCCAGAATTTGGAACACCACCATTACCATAGTTGCTGAAATCCTGCCTTGGTATGTAATGGTGGTTACTCACACTGGATCCCGGTTGCTCATCCACATCTCCATCATTGCTTTGAAACAGAAACCTTTCTTCTTTCACCATCATTGTGGCAGCAGCTGGTATAGCTTTTCTACTCATTCCCAAATAAGGGCTCATAATCAAGAGTAGGGTTGCAACAACTAGTAGATTCTTCATTCTTCCTTCCACTCTTGCAATTTTATTCTGTCCCAAATAAAATAGAACAGAATTATTTTAAAAAACTCCGTTTAAAAATAGTAACGAGAAAGAAACGAATAATGAGTTCGAGAAGTCGCACAACTTGTAATTCTTGTATGCACAGACATTACGAGTTTAAATTTCACCAGTATATATATATACCGATTCAAAAGATTTTAAAAAGAAAAAAAATGAAAGTGAAGGAAAATAAAATTATGCATTAATCACTAATTTGTAAAATGGGAAACAAAAGAACTTACCCCGTGTTCAAGGTCGCGTTGTAAGTGAAAGCAAAAACTCTTAGAAACAGATGTGAGATTTGGTTATACAAATTACAAAGAAAATGTAGGGATTTTATAGATGAAATTAGGGATGATGGAGTGTCCACCAAATGAGGCAAAACCAAGTGGGGGATGGCCATATTAATCAGCGAAAATAATTAAAAACAACAATTTAAATGATGCTGAAGAAGGAAATTAATCTTTTGCAATTTGCCCATAAACACCAAAGTTTTAACAGTTTAATCCACCTTCTAAGTGGGAGATAAAGCAAAAATTATGATCCAGATCTAGTGGAATGACCTGTTCAATTGTCTTTTCATGTCGAAAAATTAATGAAGGATTAGAGCTAGATAGCCAGAGGGTAAAACTTTATCGGTCGATTGATGCACACATACATATACACGTATTAAATACTACTAATTAGATCAAATATTCATTAACATGATCTTTGATCATTTTACACCTATATAGATTATCAATTTGTCGATATTGCTATGTTAGTTATCTTTTGTTAGTGCACCAACCCGTGGATTAATCTTTTGCTTTTGAATTAAGTGAGGGAAAGAACAAAGAAGCGAAATCAGTAATCTTTCTAGTGGAGTCTCTTACCTGTCAGATTTGTTTTCTAGGTTAAGCATAAAATTTAATTCTCTTAAAATGATTATCTTTTTATTATATATATATACTAGTGATGTCTGGTCGCGCAATGCGCGACCCTGGCCCAGTCTATCTGTAGATCTTAGAAATGTTTATATTTGAAAAAAATAAAATTTTGTATTTGGAGCGATATATTTTAGTAATGTTTGAAGGATTTAGAAATATTTTATAAGTGTGATCATAGAAATATTTGTATTTTGTAAAAAAAAAAATAAATTGTATTTCGCCATGTATGTTTTAGAAATGTTTTATAAGTGTTACTTATTAAATATAAATAGCTTAATCGAATATATGTGTTGAAGTAAATGTTAGATAAAATATAAAAGCATCCTAATAAATTTAAATATTAGTAAGATGATTTATTGATGTTCTCCATTGGTCGTGCCAAATCAATACTTAGTTTTGGAGATTTTTAATAGCTTTGTAATAAGCTTCATCCAAAGGGTATACGCTTAAAACAAAATTGACACTTTGTAATAAAAAACCTAATTGATCAATTCAATTTAAAAAACCACTCTAGTTGAATGAAACATAAAGAAAAAATTAAAAAAAAAAAAACGTGTCACGTAAAGTGCAAATGGAGATTTAGTAATTTAGTTATGGTTAGACAAAAGGGCAATTTAGTATTTTCTACATGCCACGTGGCAATCATATGAGGTGTTTGAAAGAGAGGTTTTTGTTTCTAATATAGTAGGATATATATATTCTTTTTCTTCTGACATGACTGTCTAGTTTAAATTTTTATTTTTAATTCAAATTGTACTAAAAATGTAAATTCAAATTAAATAATATTTTGAGAAAGATGAGTAATATTTTTCGCCTCCATTCAGCATACCACAACATGGACTTAATAGTGTCTACCTTTACGGAAGGAAAAGTCAATCATCAAAACCGGAAAATGGACTCTATTTCTAGAACCAAAGAAACAAAAAAACAAAAGCCCGAACAACAGAATCACAATGAACGTTTAGAAATTAGATTACATTCGACCCCAATTTTTAATATTCTATATTTTCCTTAAACAATTTAGATTTACGTTCTCCATTTGGAAATTTGACGAATTAATTACTTATATTATATCTGTTCCAAGACACAAATCTTTATTTGTTTACAATCTTTTAACGAGAAGTGACAGAGATCTAGAAAGTACAAGTGTACAACAAATCGAATCCAAGAAGAGAGTCAAAATGGATGGATGTATATTAGACTTTCATTGATCAGTTTTTTACTTTTTACCAAACTTGTTTAACAAATCAATGGCTAATATGTTTACTAGTAAAACAAAATTTGAATTGAACGTGTCATTGAAGACAAAAGTTCTTGTTATTTTTTTGTTTTTTTATTTTAACCTTATGACAACGTATCAATGAAAGCTTCTACCTTGCACGAATTTGTCCGAAGTAGTTGTAGAATTTTACATGTAGTTGATATATACATATAAAACATGAGTTTGAGAATTCTAATACTTTATTATTTGAGAAAATAGTACGAGAAACACTTTGTAAATGTGCAATAATAATAATAGTAATAATAAAATAATCAGATCGTCATTATTTTTATTTTTTCTCTCATTAAGTTCTATATATATATTGGTTTTCCTTGTGGTTTCTCTTGGCCAAACCCATTTGTTAAACAAGTACTACTATCGAAATGCTCCCGTTCAAATTACAGTGCGCGGATCATCCCCCAATTCGCTTTGACTGGCTGTAAAAAATAATTTCTTCTGCGTCAAGGAATACTGTTTCTAGAAACCATTGAGAAATCACGAATAATAAACTAATAAAAGAGTGAATTTTATTTCATTCGACTCAGAAAAGTTTGACACGAGATCAATCGTGACATTATGAACATCCGCCGACTCAGTATTTTCATCGTCGACGCTGGTCTTTGATCCTTCTTCTTACATATATAATTTTTCAAAGAATTTTTCTCTGAAAAGTAAAGAAAATGCAAGAGAAAAAAGGATTAGCGGTTACCTTTTTGGTCAAAATTAAATAAGTTGGAGAGAAAATAATTTCAATGATGAAAGCCATTTCATTAATTGGAAGTAAACAAGATGACATTTCTTCTTTTCTCAAATGTGTAAACCTATGATAAATCATAGGGCAAACCAAATTCAATTTACATATCTCTGGCTTAATTTATTGACTGAAAGTTTACTGTGATAAATACATCATTAAAACGGTAATATTGCAGCATTGTGTTAGTGCAGAATTTGAGTAAAATAAAATAATCAATGAATAACATATCAACGAACTAGAAAAATTTGACAGGCGGCGAAATTCTTTCGATCTAGGTGATGATGATATGGTTGAGGCTACTCAAGCAGATCGACGACTTATTTCTTCATTGGAAGAGCTGCCAGATATGGGTAATTTAGAAGGAGAAAATGAGGATATATTTGAGGATGTAACTTTGGACTCTCAAGTTCGGAATAATCTCTAATAGTTTTGTCATTTTCTTTTAATGCATCTAAAGTTATGAATATCATCCGGTATTATTTTCAGATAGATAAATTTCGTAGTAAATTATTTTGGCATCATAGGAACCAACGTCCCAAGGGAATTTTGATGTTCGGCTTTTTCTTTTTTGGTGTTGAGTCGCGGCGGGAATAAAATATAGTTAGTGAAATGCTCTTGTTAATTGTTTTTAGGCTTTTACTTCCTTTATTGTACCCAAGAAAAAAAAAAGTCACGACAGCAACAATAAGGCTAAACGGTAAAATGGAGATAATAACAATAGCAACAACCAGTATGATAATGTTTACAGAAAAAAAAAATCAGAGATGAAACACGAAAACAAAAATAATCATCCTCGTACCTTAAAAAATGAAGGTGCAATTGTAAGTATTTTTAATATTCTCTTACATGTCGTATAGTTTTATCTCATTTTATTGAATAAAGTCAATATACATATAATTCTTCCTTAATATTAGTTCACTATTTTATTATGTGTGCCTTTAAAACGCATCTTGATCGCCACATCTTCATCACACCAAGCAAACATATCTTCTTTCCCCTAATATCAAGTGGCTCATTGTTAGAAGGTTTGAGTAGACTGATTAGGAATTCAGGTCGAAACTTATAGTATGTCATGATGAGGTGTGTGGTTCGAAGCTTTGAATCTCCTTGAGTAATCTTGTTAATTTTTATTTTCCCAAGCAAAACAATCAAAATATCAGTAGAAATTATTATTTATGAACTACTAATAAAATCGAGAGACGCCTGTCCGGTATCATCCTCATTAATTTAAAAAAAAAAATTAAGAAAATCTTCAAGACATCATTAAGGAGGAAAATAAGAAAACGCAAATACAGATTGTAGGGCCGAACCCGTAATGATTTGGTATTAAAGTATAAATTAAGTGAACCCGTTGTCAACTTTTCTAATGCATTTCCATTTTTCCATACCAACTCTGGTACAAATGATCATATTGAAATTTCCTGCGAAACCAACATAGCCCAAGCAAAATTGGAAAAGAAAACCAGCAAGAGTTTGGTCGTATTCACACTTTAACATGTTCTCTCTATATATATGCACTAAGCTAAACCATTAGGCTAGAACACCATTTCCGTTTGCAAAATATAGCAAACTCCTCCCTAAGTACAAATTTGAAACAAAATATAGCACCACATTTACAAAAATATGAAGACTCTTGGAAGCAAGATCTTAAAATTTTACTCCTCCCTAATCATTTTGGTTCTGCTTGCATCTCATCAATTACGAGCTCATGAAGTTGGTAAGCCTAAAGACCCTAAACGTTAGATGAAATGTTAAATATTCGAATAGCTAGGTTATGTGAGTTTGTTTCACTAATTTCCGTTTCTCCTATATATGGTCATGTTTTGCTAGGGCATTTTGATTGTTGTTTAGTGTTTACTAAAATTTATGGTTGCGGTTTTATGTATGTATAGATGTTGAAAGTGAATTTAGTTATGATGAAGAAGACAACTTAGGACCCGGGAATTGGGGAAAGATTAAGCCAGAATGGAGTTTGTGCAGCAATGGAACAATGCAATCACCAATTGATTTGATGAACGAGAGAGTTGATGTTGTGTCCAATTTGGGACAACTACATAGAGACTACAAGCCTTCCAATACAACACTCACAAACAGAGGCCACGATATGATGGTAAGTGTTAAATCGAGTGTGTGTCTTTGTTTTCCCTTTCTAATTTGATATTTAATATTATCTCTGTTCAAGAAAAATATATATCCGACATTAATGTAAATTTCAAAACTCAATAGTAAATGTTGAATCGAAAGTGTGTCTTTGTTTTCCATTTCTAATTTGATATTTAATATTACCTCACAAATTTCAAAACTCGATGTGAGTTATTTTTTTAGAACAGATGAGAATATAATAATAATTACTAATAAAAACCATATTAAAATTTTGTCGTAAATCATAATCTCAAGTGCATGCATGAGATACGTAACAACCCAATAACATCATAATCAAAAAATAAACAAAAGTAGTAGGAATTTGATATTTCAAAATTGGATTCTTCTGAAAATACAGAACAAATTTTATTTGGGGCCAATAAATTGACTGAAATGAATAACTTAATGGTACTTTTTCAGTTTTTCTATAGCTATCTGCCCACTTCAGACTCAACAAGTACAGTCAAACAAAGGCGACAGTAAAAAGGATTAATTAGTACATAACTTTTATTAAAAAAGAAAAACAAAAAGCACCTGTTCTAGATAGACTGGAAAATGGAATTAATTAGGATAACTGTATGCATATATTACCAATACTTTTTATCTTTATATTAAATAATTTAATTACTTTCTGAATTTTCCAAATTTGCTCCTGAAAATGCAGTTGAGTTGGGTTGGTGATGCTGGACACATACACATAAATGGAACCTTGTATCCCCTGAGACAGACTCATTGGCACTCACCTAGTGAACATTCTATTAACGGGAAAAGGTACATTTTAATAGTTATTATTAAAAAAAACACTTTAATTTTTCCACTAATTGATTGTCAGAATGTTGTTTTTGATTAATTTAACATTAATTATGATATCATACATTATATTTTATATTGATGTCGCAGGTACGACTTAGAGGTTCATATGGTTCATCAAACTCCCGAAGAAAAAATTGCTGTGATAGGAATTATTTACAAGATTGGACGGCCCGACCCGTTTTTGCCTATGGTATTATTGTTTCATTTACATTAACATTGTCCTTTGATTTGATTTGAGAGTATGAGACTATGAGTGATGTATTTAATATCGTTCAACTAATTGTTATACGCTTTATTTCATATAAATAAATATCGTGCTCTTACATAGTTTTGATCTAATATAAAGTAGTGTATTTTGTAGTATATCGATTTATATATCTCAGAGTTAAATTGTGTATATATAATATGTTTGAAATTACAGATTGAGAATGACATGAAGGCTCTTGCTCATACAACGGATTTAGAAAAGGCCGTAGGCATTCTTGATCCAAAACAGATAAAATTGGGGAGCAGAAAGTATTATAGGTACATTGGTTCACTTACAACTCCCCCTTGCCATCAAAATGTCATCTGGACCATTGGTAAAAAGGTAGTAACAATTTTTTTAATTTTTTTTTAATTTTTACTCTTTTTAATGGAGTGATCATTAACTTATGTTGATTTGATTCTCAATTTAAATTTCTTGAATTAATCATGAAAATTAAATCCTCAGGTGAGAACGGTTTCAAGGCATCAATTGAAAATGATACGGGAAGCAGCCCATGAAGTGAGTACACATATTTCTGCAATTCAAGCCTTGTATCCATGAAATTTATTTTTTAAAATTGAAATTCGTATAATTAGTTTTAGGTCGTCTTTAATTCCAGATTATTCAAATTAATTTATTAATTCCACATTAACCCAAATTTGCAGAGGACAAACGCAAGACCGATCCAACCATTAAACCAGCGCCGGGTGAAAATGTACAGACCAAATGTTGAAGAAGACGACTGAGAGATTAGAGACAAACCATGATCAGAGGCCATAATTATTTTTTTAAAAAACAATCTTGTTTCGTTTTTCTTTTCAATTCTTTTTGTTCCTTATTATTTCTTTTTTCTTTTGGAAGTAGAAATCGAGTTTAAAATAAAACGAAGAGCGCTTGTTTCATTTTTCAGCATATATACTTGTATTAGTATAGTGATCATTATTCATCACAAAAGCTTGAAAATCACTATTCATCACATGTATTTCATTTTTAAATTTTTTTTTCCCTTTCAATGCAACCCAACTTTTTTTGGTGCTCATTTTTTCTGATATATACTACCTACTATATTTCTTAAAAAATCTAAAAAGTTTCTTTTTTGCTTTCTATCGCAAACCCTGTTTCTTTATTTATATATATATATATATATATTACCAAAAAGGAAAAACTTTGGATTTTTTTAAAGATATATTAGGTAATATATTAAGAAAAATGAGCATAAAAAAGGTGGGTTATATTAAAAGGGAAAAAAAAAAAAGAAAGAAATGTCGATGATGAAGATGATGAGCAATGATTTTTAAAACTTTTAGACCATATATGCTCTTGAATTCAACGGCAACTTTTGGGTCTAACGGAGAATGACTTATTTTGAGCAGTGTTTATTAGTATAGTGATTATTTTGTGAAATTAAAATTTAACAATGAGCAAATCAGAAAATTTCTCGCATTTTAGTGACGTTTTTTGCAATTTATTCAAATTAAAAATAGACATGACAATAAGCTACATACATGTCAATTGATAAGTGAATCAATTTGAGTAATTGATTAAACTAGTATTTACCCACATGTTATGCGGGTTGTTCAAGATATATATGAGTTTAATGATTTGACGATCATATGACATGTCTGATTGAGTGATACATGTAAAAAAATAATATATATGAGATAATTAAATTGCAATTGTGTAGTTTTTATTGTCAATGTGTTCTGTTATTTTAAGTACATTTGGAATAGTTTTTAAAATTTGAAATCATTCAACATAACTTACCAATCGTATTTTTTTGTTTTGTTGATTTTTGATTTTATATCTTTTAAAAGTATTATCTTAATTTTTTACAATAATCTCTCTAAATATTTCTAACCATGTCATATCTCTTAAATTCTCACTCTGACTTAAAATTTTCTCTTTATCTTTTTCCACAAACTTATCTTTATTTTTTATTTCTTTATATACCTTTTATAATTTTTCTTTAGAAATTTGTTAGTAAATTTTTCTTATAATATATACTTTTTTTTGGGTCACATATGCTTCACTCTTGTAAAAAATATAAAATAAAATTGATGACCTCTCTTTGAAACTTCATTTCTTGAAAATGTTGTAATAATTATTTTATTTTTCATTATTATCTCAGTTTCTTTTTTCAAATTTTCTTATTTTTTACAAAAATTTTCCTCCTCATTATTTTCAATTTCTCAATACACTTTTCTTCTAATGTTTGTCTCTCAAAAAAAAGGTTTATTCTTTTTCTCATTTTAGAAAACATAATAAATCATTTAATTAATTTTTTATATTCCAAAATCAAGCAGTAAGGGTTTGTTTGGCCAACATTTTATTTTAATTTTTGTTTTAGTTTTTTGATTTGGGTTTGAGATGTGATTTAAAATGTGGTTTGAAATAAAATTTAAAAAATTATTTGGGTAATATTTTAAATAAAATAATAATATTTAGGGGCCGGTCGCTGGCTGGCGGCGGCGGCGGTGGAGGTGGTCCGGTGATGGTGGACGAAAATTGTATAAAAATAATTTTTAGAATATTTTTTAAAAGGTAAATTAAAAAGTTGTTTGGATAGTATTGAGATTTGTATTTGAGAGGTGTTTTAAGAGGTAAAATGAGACAAAAAGGCAAAATTAGTATTGGGCAAACAAGACCTAAATAATCGGTTGAATGCCAAAAATACTTATTTCTACCTTATTGAAATATGAACTACAAAAAGTTTCAATAATTGATAAAATAAATTATATCAATTATCCACTTATTTCTTATGTCTTTTTCATCGAATATAAGACTCGAGGGTTTCGTATTAGTTGTGATTTTTTTTCTTTTTTTTTTGGGTTAAACATCAATCATGGTTTTGGGTTTGGTTTATGAGTGCAGTTAAGCATTCTTGTTGAATATTGATTTTAGACCTGTGCAGAATGTTGTTCCGGCGATATAAAACGTAGGACATGTTTATTTTATATCTTGAAGTTCAATTTTTTATTTTTTGTGAAACTGTTTCTTACTATAAAGTAAGAGAATTTGTTATCCACTTATTTCTTATACTTTCTTTTGCTTTATATAGTTCATATAATGATTTTCATCATTTTTTTATTATTCGCATGTGATTAGAATCCCAACGGGCTTCACTAATTGATTTTTTATAACCTTATCTTTTCACCTTTCCCTTGTTTCATTATTTTTCAATATTGAAAAAAAATTTTCCTTTTTTTTTAAAAAAAATAACTCAGGTAAAATTAATTATTTATAGATTTTACGGATTTTTAAATAAAAAATTACCATTAAATGATGGAGAGATGTGATTGCGACATGTGGAATTAATTATCTAATTTTTTACCATGTGGATTCACCTATCTAATATTACCCCATATGTCCGATTGAAAACTCTGTTTTAATATTTATATGTAGATAGAGATATGCGTTAATCATCTAAGTCACACAAAAAGAAAAATCTTTTGACAATTAACCCCTATTAGTAAATAATCAATTACATTGATTTTAATAGATTAAGAACAGAGACTATTTGTTTTAAAATGAATTTTTTGTGATATTTTTAATTAGTTGAACAAAAATATCTCTACTTAATTAAACTTTCATTAATTATCATTCTCACAAATCACGGACATAATAACCTTTCTTCCCAACTCTTTCTTCCCCCTCAAATCCTAAAAAAATGTATGGCTAACCATTGTTTGTGTTTTTGGTTTGGATTTGGTTTGCAGTGTGCATCGGCCTGGCCTTGCATGATTTCTAAAAGCTATTTAACTTTAGGGATTCTTAGGTTGATAGACTTGCTTGGTTGGGGAACCTGAATGGAGAGCATAACTTCAATTCTATTGTTGCTTGGATTCTACGTTATTGATATTTGCTGATAGCGATGCTGGTCAGACTGTTATTGATACGAATCTTGAGGCAAAGGTGGCAGATTTACCTCGACGCGGAAGTTATGAATTTCCTAGCACTTGAAAACTTGCAAACCCAATATTATGGACTCCAAACTCACGAAAAATAAAAGGAAAAAAGAGATGCAAACCACAAAAATTTGCACCAAAAAGGGATGGAAAGGTTTAGAAGATGTAGAAAGTATTTAAGGCTAGCAACCCAATCGGTCACCTCTTTAACAACCCTATCACTTCGATTTATGGATAGAACGGCTAGCGAAAAGGCTCCAATGAACAACTAACAAAGCCCACAAGCAGAAAAATATCTATTCTACTCGCATGCATCAACAAAGCACAAGCTTGTGTGTAATGCACTAATCTTCGAAATGAATAGAAAAAGAACAAACAGTTTCATCTCGTCTCATATTGAAATATCAAATTCATCAAAGGTACAAATGAAATGCTGGCCAAGCACCCCTATTTATAGTAGAGGGGGCCGAAAATTCTCCTAACAATTAGGAGAAGAGTTTGATCTGTAACTCTATTCCTACTTTAAAGAATTAGAAATCAACTTAACATCTAATTGACAACTTGTGTCTTATCTATTAAGGCAATGTATCTAGACACCTTTATAGACTTAAGACTAGTCCATTGAAAATAAAACTCCAAATACAAAGAGATATTCTCTCAAAAGAATCTTATCCTTATCTTGAAAAGAATCTTTCCTGAGTTGTCAACTCTATCAATATCTTCTTTGTAGAGTAATCATAGCCATCCAATCTTGATCTAATCTCCATCCAACGGTTGAGAGTAGACACAAAGGAATAAACTTCTTATTTTGAATAAACTCTAAATTAGATAAAAGAGAATCATATCTTATCCTTCCATGTGATAAGATTGAAATGATCTTATCTCTAAAAGATAGGGAATCTTCCAAATCTTATCCTTCCACGAGTGTGATAAGATTTAAATGATTTTATCCCTAAAAGATAGAGATTCCAACTCAATTAAGAGATAGGGCCGGGCTCCTTTGCTTGGTTTGTGGGCCGAAATTTCCTTCCTCAAATGGGCCTTATAACACATTAATAATCTTGGGCTTATAACTTCCAGACTTGACATTCTATTGGGCTAAACCACTTGATATAAGATTATTACGTGCACTCTTCATCCTTTTACTTCTAGCTCGAGTCATTAGGCCTCCATGTTGGATAATGGATCTTGAACCACTCCTTGAGTTTGGACAGTACTTGGAACCCGAAAACCTTGATCATCTTGGACTTGATTACCATGGATGTTCACATCATTCCCTCCTTCCTCGAAAGGATTCGTCCTCGAATCCAAACTTTGTACAGCTTCAGCATCTGAGAAATCAAATGGAGATAAATCAGAAACATTAAAAGTCGCACTAACATTATACTCACCAGGAAGATCAAGTTGATAAGCACTGTTGTTCAAACGCTTGACAACTTGGAAAGGACCAGCTCCTCGAGGATCTAACTTCGATTTAACCTTTGTAGGAAATCGAATCTTCCTTAAATGAACCCAAACTCAATCACCAGGTTCGAATATCATTTTCTGACGCCCCTTGTTGGCAATCCACGCAACATGCTCATTTCTCTTCAAAATATTCATGTGTGCTTTCTCATGAAGAGAAGGTACATACTCAGCTTTCTTGGCTCCATCTGCATTAAGATACTCAGAAATAGGCAATGGAGACAAGTCTAAAGGGGTTAAGGGGTTAAATCCATAAGCAATTTCAAAGGGAGAATATTGGGTAGTAGAATGCACAACACGATTCTATGCAAATTCAGCAATAGGCAAACAAGCTTCCCAATTCTTACGATTCTTCTGGATCAAAACACGAAGCAAAG